GATCAAAATGCTGCCATCTGTCGGATTTTTCATTTTTATAATTTTAGTTCCACTCCAAGTTGAAAAGTACTTAGATGGCAGCACCATCGATAAACAAGGAGCGCAATAGCGTGCGACAAGGACAGATATACGCCGGGCGCCAGACGAGGAGCGCAATAGTGTGCGACAAGGACAAATATATATGATGCGCCAGACAAGGAAAGCAATGGTATTCAATTAAGATAGACACGTCTCGTGCGACAGATAAAGAGCGCAATAGAGTGAGAGACAAGAACAGACATAGTAATTAGTTCGTTGGTTTCACCGCTACGTGGTGATAGCGTTTCAATGTTCATGAATTGTTCAAATATTCATTTGTAATAAAAACTATTTAAAAACATTAATTTATGGAATTTTGTAATTATTTCTTCCTAATTAGATTCTAAGCTTTATTCTTAGATTTTATTTAACCTATTAGGAATTATAATATATATGGCCATATATAATTCAAAAGCTATTTCACAATCTCTTATGCAGTTTTTTTAACTTCTTTAGCCAATGGTTTTTCTTTGAATTTGGCATGTTTTTATCTATTTTTCTATTTCTCTGTTTTTCATTTTTTCTTTGTTAATTTCGTCTTGGATAGGATGGAAAAAAAATAAATAACACGATTGTAAAATATTGTTAAATTACTTTGATTTAATGAAATTCTTTATAAATACAATTTGTACAATAGTTTTACAATAAATAGTTCCGTTTTATAATGTATTGTATAATCGTTATTATTGCAGTTTGAACATGGTCTTCTGTAATAATTAAAGAGCCAGTTTATTTCAAAATCTAACACGAAATCTGATTTACTCACTCGAATAAAGCATCAAATCACCGCTGCACCATACAATATGAAATTTATAAGTTTCATTTTGCTTTAATTATATTCGATTCACAAGAACGATTAGTTAAATAAAAAATAAATAACTGGTATGTGTAACGAATAACAGATTACACAAGAAAGGATTTGTACATTAAAAACAATTTTATTAAAATTCTTATAAGAAAAGAATACAAGCAATGTATTTTCTTGTAAAATCTCGTGAACTTACGCTAAAGTTATGTTTTTTTACATTTGTTTTTGTATAGTATTTGTGAATGTGGAATCATACCTAAGATGCAATTAAAAATATGTCAAATTGTGTAAATATTTTTATGATAAAAATATGAAATATAATGCCTTATGCATTGCACAAAAACGATCTAATTTTTTTTTTGAGCATTACGTATTTTCTTCGCAGATATTAAAAATTCATTGTTATAATGGTTTTCCTTTGAAAAAATAGTTAAACATTTTTTTAGCTATATTTTTATACTTTTTAAAAAAGCCGTTGCAATGTACAAATATAAAATCAAAGCTTCTAAACATCTTTGATACAGTATACTAACGTTGCAAATACCAGCATATATTATAAAGCCTTCAGCTTCAGTATAGTTATTTTGTTTACAGCATTACAAATCTTAAACAGTATGTATATTTTTATAAAAGAATATAAAGCAATACTCAGTTATCTGAAAAACATGCTTCAATATTAATAGTAATAAAGCTTTGTTTTAAATATAATATAAATAATATTTTCATAAACATATATTTTCTCTCATAGAAATGCTTTTATAAAAGCATTAAGAGTACAGAAATTAAAACACAACCAAACACAACCAGTTTTTCATTTTTATTCTACCTTCTTCATATTGATAGTCTGTTAAAAAGTATACTATATAAAATGTAGTGGGTTTCAACAATATGATTTGCAATTTGTACACAGTACAGAAACAAAATGCTTAATACAGTAATGTATTTTACTGTGATAAATACAACTGTTTTTAATCCATTCTGCGTTATTATCAAAACTTGACATTTTAATTTTTATTATTACGATTGTATGTTGTATTTTAAATCTAATGTAGTTAAATATTTAAAAAATATTGGCCCTTTTAATGATGTAAACGCATTATTATGCTATTAGTATTACGTTACATTTCTTTTCGTTTTCTCTCTATATTCTTAAACATAAATAAGAGCTTAATTTTTACATTAAACTCATAATTAAATATTAGTAAAATCTTAATATGTTTTATAACCTTTGTTTTGATTAGTAATAGTCAATTTTATTTTTTTTTTCATTGAATAATTTTAAACAATGTACTGTATTTTCAAATTTAATAATTCCTTATATTACAATTGGTGACATATTTAGAATCTCATTTTATTGTTTCTCAAATTTACAACCAAGACTAGAAAGTATTCTCTTGAGTAAGACAATAATTATCTTGAGTAAGATTTCATTATCTTATCAAGCAAAAATACATTTATGTCATGAATGAGATACAAAAAATCATTAAATTGCAAATATAAATTTTTTTGATCTGAATTTTTTTCCTGCCTTGATATTACATGATTTGTTTATTTCGAAAAAATTTGTCTATATGTTTCATATTAAATGCAATTAAATGCAGGAAAACATTGCAAATAATTTAATATTCTTTCATGTAAATTTATATATTCGACAGTTCTGTGTTTTATTACGACCGTGCATTAGAGAAACTTGGTCTATCATTTGATACCAATATTGATCTTATTGGATTTATTTACACAAATCCAATAAGATTTGTTTCATTATAAATGAAAAGGTTTTGAAATCTTTTCATTTATAATAATCCCAACAAAAATTTGATTGCTACAGCTATTTCACAACAATGAATATTTATTTCATGTGTACATTAGCTAATTGCTTCTTTGATCCAAGAGGCAAGAAATTATTTTCGATTTCGACTATATGTTTATTTTACAATAAAGTTAGGCAGCATCGAAAATCTGTCTTCAATAATTCTATTATTTCTACATACATGCAATTATGAGTTTCATTTTTGTAAAGTGATGTTATATGAATATCTTAAAAACTAATTGTAGGCATTGATTTGACTATGAAAATTATGCATGAGATTTGCATATGCGTATATACAATTAACACTGAGGTTTGTCCGTAGGAACAAGGCACGGCTGACATATCGTCTTCTTTTACTGACCAGTGTTATTATTGGTTGAAAAGTTTAACAATAAAGTACACACCTTACTTATTTTGACAGATTTGAAAAGATATTTTTATTTCTGCCAAGTTTCGAAACAATTTACTTCAAATTTCACAACTACTTTTTCATAGAATTATGAACTTATATGTAAATTTTCTAGATGTAATTTAAAAAAATTATGTTTATATGATTGACTTCGCATTGAAAAATACTTTTTTTCTATATTTTTCTTCATATATCACAAATAAATGGATATTTTTTGAAATGGTATTCACCATCACTGCTTCTAAATAGCAGTAACAATTTACTATTACACATTTCAAGATAATATTTAATATATCATAATATAAAACACACGAGTAGGATACTTCAAAACTCGCCTGAAATGTTGCCAAGTCCTCCAGACAGATAATCAAATATAGATACATTTTTGTATCTTATAATAAATGAAGAAATAAAAAAAAAGAAACATTTATATCAATGTTTAAAACTATCATGCAACTGGTAGCATTAGATACTCTACTTGAATCAACAAACATTAAATTATTTTTTATAGGTAATATGCATATTGAAGTTTAATTTTAATTTAGATTGAAATTTAATTTTAAATTTGCAATGAAAAATTCAAATAGTTTTTAAAATATTATAATAATTCATGCAAAATATTAGACAGCTCTATATATTCAAAAATTTAAGCATCAATACCTAATAAAATAGACTGAAATTATCTTGAATACTAGTTATTCAAATAAAACCAACTAATATTGTGTTTTCATCGTTGTTAAACAAGTGTTTTATACTACACAGTGAATTGTTATTACGAAATGTAAATATAGCAGCAAATAAGTATTTCAAATTAAAATTGTATATCTTATTGCAACATGAAGTATACTTGAAATTATATTCGTATCAACAAATAACGATGAATAAATCGGTATGGTAACGAAACAAATATTTGTAATTCACTATCTACGACATAATTGGATTTTAAACATTCATTTGGAATTGACAATCCATACATTCGTAGTTTTGTTAGTCCACATCAAGAATAATATTTGAGGCAGGAATAGTTTTACTTTACTACATTATAATTTTACTGATATTTGAAAGTAATTTCTTGTATAGTATAAAACGCTTTACCAGAAGCAAGATAGCACATATGCAAACATACTATAATGTATATAACTAGATGTTATAAAAAATAAATGAAGGACTAGGAATCTCAATGGATCCTGATGGATCTTGGAACCTTCATTGGCAGGTGCTTGCGTGCCAAGAAATGTTCCATACTTGTAAAAATTTTCCAAAAGTGCTTCTTTTTCGACCCATCTATCATACAACCATTTAGATAATAATTCTGGTTCTCGTGGAACCTAAAATCAATAATATAATAAAATATCCCCACAGAAAAAATAAAAAACTACCAATCTATATTTTAAAACTTACCACTGAACTGGGGAAAACTCGGTAAAATAAAACTGTTTCACATGGTGGTCGTGAACCAGTTATAATTGTTGGTAAGTCAAGTGGTTTACCTTGAGGATATGCTATTGTTATATCTAGAATCCAATTGATTTCTGGTTTAGCAACCAACATACCTAAAACAAAAATTTATACATGTATATTAGTAATACATATTCTTATTGTAGTTAATGTAAAACATGAATTAAATTATAGTTCATATAAAATTAGTTACTTGGTCTACTGTTTAACTGTTGTTCTGTTGTATTATTTTCCTGTGACGGACCAATTGTATCAAATATAGTTTGCATTGCTCCTACTCGTGGTAATGTAACATTTTCAAGAATTGGTAAATTATTCTTTTTAGCATATTTTTGTGACGTTTCCCGTCTTTTACATAAAAAACCTCCTTCTGGAAAGAGAACCATCCACTTTCTATTTAAAGGAATATATGCTTCTTTTAAATGTTTTTCTAATTGTTTCAAACTTTCTTCTCTTCGTTTCCGGCCCTAATAAAATATCGAAAATAAAATAACTCAATTGTATAAGATACTATTAACAAATTAACAAACACATAATCACTTACAGATACGATAAAAAAGTCCTGGTGCAAAATAGAAACTATACCAAAGTTAGTAAATTTGAAAATCCTATCCATAATCCACATTAGATTAGGTAACACATTTGGTTTAGCATTAAATGTTGTCATTAGTATAGGAACATCGCCAGTACTTTGATGATTTGCTATTACTAACGTTCTTTCACTAATAATTTTTTCTATATCATCACCTTGTTCTATTACTATAAATTAAAAATTATTGCATTATAATTATTATTATTTTAATTATATATATAAATTATTTGCATACTCACTATCATAACCTGCAGACCACGTCCACATAGACACCATCGCTAATAGCCAATGAAAAAATAATCCTTCGATTCTCCAATATACTTGTGGTTGATAAACTTTTACAGGAAATAATAATGTCATCCATACTACATATGTTGGTATACAATAAACATTGTTGAGTATCACAAAACTGGTTCTAGCAATACATTTTACAAAAGTTAACACATTATTGATTACCCTGCAAATTTATAAACAAAATAAAATTCATAATTATAAAAATAATTCTTAATCGCTCAAATAAATATTTACTTGCAGTTTTTAAAACTTGTAACAATATCGTTTATATCATTTAAAATAGTATCATTGGACTCTAGATTAATAGAACGATTGTTTTATTAACTTGTTCACATAAAAGTTGATTTACATGTAATAAATATTTGAAAATATTCTTTTACTTGTTACATTAATGTAAAATTTCATTATAAAACTTCAAAAAAAGAGATAACGTTATCATTGTTTTTAAGACTTTCATTGATATTTAGTTTGTGATTATAATAACTTTTAAAGATTTCAAATAATTATATTTGAACATCTTAAGTAAAGCTGCCAATAAATGTACATTACAAAATTATTCAATTTGAAAAATCCTCCAAAACATAAACAATCTTTAAACTTTTTGATATTTTAATTAAAAGAAAAATTACACAATGTAATCAAATGCTTGATAGTCGACAATACGATAATGTATTTATAAACATATACATCACGGAAAATTAAAAAATTAAGAAATCTAATTAATAAGTATGAAACGTCACAATGATTTCGAATTATTTTAGACATTACTCGGTGAAAACAAGAAGCCCGGCACCCGTCATATTTTAGGTTAAGAATATTTTACATTCGGTTAAAATTTTTTTTTTTACCAAATTAAAAGCTAAAAGACACGATCATGAAATAGTTCGTAATCACAGAAAGATATTTTCAATTATCAAGAATTGAAAGTAAAAACCGCGTGGTGCACTTGATAAACCACGTTTTTACTTACCTCGTAAAAGTAGAGGAGGAAGGAAAGTCAGTCATTTTTGAAAGACACCACTTGCAATGTTATTCCGACCAAACTTTAGCCACGATTTTTTGTGCATAGCATTCCCTTTTGCACAAATTACATAATAAGGATCATTAAATGGAATGACATGTAAGATCCTCGTGCTGCTTACATGAGATGTAAATCTTAGGAAAAAAAATTGTTAAATATCGTAAAATTGCAATGGACTGCTTAGTTTAATCGTTGAATAATTCGTCTCAATATTACCAGTTCCAATTGATACACGGTTAGCAAGATAAAACCGTGTTACACAAATTTATCGGCTTGTTATCAACCAGCATTTAGACAACGTTTTTCAAAAACAAACCATAATTTTGTTGTTTCTACTTTCTACTATACGTGATATCGCCGCGGCGCACGTAACATAAATACAATGGCGACGAAAGTTAATAGATTGATAAAAACACTACATAATTTTGTCAATAATAACACACTATTAACTGCTCGACATCGTATTTATAATTAAAAGTAGAACGATTCAAAAAGAAAAAAATTCCATGGGTATGTTTATATGGCACGTTTGAAAGTGCATGTTTTTTGGAAACCAGAACAGTAGCTCGCCAATCAAAAATTCGGTTACCAACATGTAAACTTCAATTGCTTTTCGTATGTGTTCTTATCAAAATATATTCAAAAGCGGCTTTTACGAAGAACACTTTATAAGCTTCAAACAATGTAAATGCAGTGTAACAGGATATGCGATATTAATTAATTACTTAATTAATTAAACTCAATTAATGAATCATACGAACCAATCACAATCTTATTTATTTGTGCATGCATCGCTGACCAAATATCACAATTGTAATAAACTCGACATCTTTGCCTATTGTTAACTCGATCTAACTACAATATATTTTGTGCTCAATTTTCAAGTTGTTCACTTGTCTACTTTCGTACCGTTTTTGGTCGATGCTAGGCACTTTTTTCGATTTTTTTTTTTAACTTTTGAAACGGCTATTGAAAGAAGCATTAAAGAAAAATTATTAAAATGACGTTAAACTTATTGAGATGTTCATTTATCAATTATGGATTATTGGAATTAAAAAAATCATCGCCGTTTTTAACGTTAAGACTGTCATTGTATACATCTAAAGCCAGTAAAAAGGTACAACTGTATCATATAAAGTATGACTTAAAGGTGTAACATTTTTTAATGACAACTTCCTGAATCAAATTTTGTCTGTTCTTTGTTCTGCTGTTTTCGTTAAAAATTTTTATACGAATTGGATCGTGCATTTTTACATAATCATTGAAGAACTAGTTCTAAAAATATTTTTAAAGAATATTATAGAAAAATATGCCATCATATTACAAGTAATTTTTTTTAGCATATTTTCGTGCCTGTCACCACTTCATTTGTAACATAACAATTGAACGCATTTGACATTTAATCGAATTAATCGCATGTTAAATGAGAAACATATTTTTTCAACAAAAATAAAAATCGTCGGATAAATTTTATTTAAAAGATGGTATGAAACAAATTTTTTATCATATTAAATCCTTCATTCAATGAGAGATGTTCATTTATATATTACATAATTATGTATGTAATTTTTTGTTTTGTTCGTTGTTTTTAATTTGATACTTTACAAACACAAAATCTTATCTGAGTACGTATGTGCTAATTGATATGTACATAATATTATAATTGACTTTATCTGTTTGATCTTTAATTGCTTAAAATATTGTAACAGTATTTTGAAGCTATATTCATTCAGTTCTATTATATAATTCATTGCTTCAATATGGTATATGAGCATATATTATTTTTATAAATTTTATTATTATTACAAATTTTATTATTATTATAATCTTTTAATATTGTAATTTTAGGAGTCAAGTGGTGAATTTCGAATTGAAAGGGACACTTTTGGTGAGCTAAAGGTCCCTGCTGACAAATATTATGGAGCACAAACAATGCGATCAAAGATAAATTTTCCAATAGGTGATAGTTTTGAACGAATGCCTGTAAGAAAGTCTAATGCTTGAATTTTGTTTAAAACAATTTTAATACATATAATATTCTTAATTTATATATTTTTTAGTATGGTGTTATTGTTGCAATGGGTATATTAAAGAAAGCTGCAGCTCTGGTAAATAAAGAATATGGAATGGATGCAAAAATAGCAGATGCTATTAGCAGAGCTGCAGATGATGTTATATGTGGAGACCTTTATAATGATCATTTTCCATTGGTAATTTGGCAAACAGGTTCTGGGACACAAAGCAATATGAACACTAATGAGGTATTTATTAACGCATTATTGAATTGAACTTTTTACTGGTTTACCAATTTGTTATATCGGACTTTTCAATTTTATTTAATTTTATCAATTTTATTTAGGTGATCTCAAATCGTGCAATTGAATTACTTGGTGGTAAACTTGGGTCAAAAAATCCTGTTCATCCAAATGATCATGTAAATAAATCTCAAAGTAGTAATGATACATTTCCTACTGCTATGCATATAGCAGTTGCTTTAGAAATTAACAGGATATTACTTCCTGGTTTGGAAGAATTGCATGCTGCATTAGACGAAAAGGCTAAAGCGTGGAAAGATATAATAAAAATTGGTAGAACTCATACTCAAGATGCTGTGCCCTTAACATTAGGACAAGAATTTTCAGGTTACGATCAAAATATGTTTTATGTATGTATTTGCAACGAAGTTGACTATTTTAAAAAAAAAGAAATAATTTTAATGCAGGTTATGCAGCACAAGTATGCAACGGTATTAAAAGAGTAAAAAATACTCTTCCAAGATTATACGAGTTAGCACTTGGTGGTACTGCAGTAGGAACAGGATTAAATGCACCAAAAGGTTTTGCAGAGAAAGCAGCAGCAAAGATTGCAGAACTTACTGGCTTACCATTTGTAACTGCTCCTAATAAATTTGAAGCTTTAGCCACTAAAGATACTATGGTAGAAGTGCATGGTGCACTTAATACATTGGCAGTTTCACTTATGAAGGTACATTTGAAGAATATTTGCAAAATATCAAATTAAAAAAATGTAATTGTTATCTTATAAAATTTATATTTAGATAGCTAATGATATTCGATTTTTGGGAAGTGGACCTCGTTGTGGTTTAGGAGAACTATCTCTTCCTGAAAATGAACCAGGAAGCTCTATTATGCCTGGTAAAGTTAATCCAACACAATGTGAATCATTGACTATGGTTTGTTGTCAAGTTATGGGTAATCATGTTGCTGTAACTATCGGTGGAAGTAATGGCCATTTTGAACTTAATGTATTTAAACCTCTGATAGTTGCAAATACGTTAAGATCTGCAAGATTATTAGGTGATGCTTGTGCATCATTTACAAAGAACTGCGTCATCGGTATTAAACCGAATAAAGATCGTATTAGCAAACTTTTGAATGAAAGCTTAATGCTTGTTACTGCCTTAAATCCACATATTGGTTATGACAAGGTTAGTTATGGCATGTTGATTATGACAGGTTTATTATAATCTTTAAGTTCAACAAAGTCAAATGGAACCATATTTTTTCAGGCTGCTAAAATTGCAAAGCAAGCTCATGCAGAAAATCTCACGTTAAAAGAATCAGCACTGAAAAATGGTTTAACTGCAGAACAATTTGATGAATGGGTGAGACCAGAAAATATGATTGGCTCCAAATAAGTTCAATTAAATTGAAAGAAGTTAAAAATCATACATTTTTTACCAATAGCTATTTTTTGTTTACTATAAATATTCTTATTTTCAAAGAATAAAAATATTTTCATTACATATTAATTATACATATTTAATAATAATTTATGTGATATATTATTTATAAGAAATATTGCAGATAATAAAATATTATAATAGTCTTCAATTTAATGAACAGAAGTTTTATTTTTTAAAATTTGTGTTGTATAATCATGTTACAATACGTGCTGTAAATCTTGTATGTTATCTGTATTACAACAGTCTGAGGGCATAGGTCAATAAACAGTTTTAGAGTGTAACTTTAGCACGTTAAATTCTAAATTAAAACGACACATACAAAATGAATACATTAAAAAAAATACAAAATATTATTGCAAAACTTGGAAATCGTAATTACGGTAAAGTTGGAATAATTGGTGTACCATTTGAGAAAGGACAGGTATTACAATATATAATGCAAAATAAAATATAAAACAATATAAAACAATAATATACCATTAATAAATATAGCATAAAGAAGGTGTAGCATATGGTCCAAAAGCGATTAGAGCAGCTGGATTAGTGCAAGAATTAGAATTATTAGGTAACTATTACTATGTGATTTCAAACAGTTTTACGGATTACAAATTTAATTTTTGTGATTCTTTAAATTAAATAAGGGTTAGATGTGAAAGATTATGGTGATATTTCATACAAAGCAAAAAATATAGATGGAATTAATAATATGTCACATTTGGGTGATGTTGCTGGTTGTACAAGTTGTTTATCTGAACAAATTCAACAAATTTTAAAAGAGGATCGAAGAGTATTGACTATTGGTGGAGATCATAGTGTAGGAATTGGAACTATAGATGGTCATGTTAAGGTACAATATAAAAAAAAGATAGTTCTCCTGTCAACTTTATATATACATATTTTTTTTTACATTGTACATATTATATTATATTTTTAAAGGAAAAAAAAAATGTAGGTGTTCTATGGATTGATGCTCATGCTGATTTAAATACAAATAAAACTAGTGAAAGTGGAAATGTTCATGGAATGCCAGTAGCATTATTAACTTCTGAATTGGCTGATTACTGGCCACATTTACCAGGAATGGATTGGCAGCAACCAATGTAATTTGTAGTAGATTAATTATATATTATAAAATATATTAAAATATATCATAATTACTTACAGGTTATCTATTAGAAATGTAGCCTATATTGGATTAAGGTCTATTGATCGTTATGAAAGATTAGTTATTGAAAAATTTGGTATTACAGCTTTTGGTATGGAAGATGTTGAAAGATATGGTAATATTGCGTATTTTAACTAATTACAAAATATTTATAAATAATAGATAATACTACATATTTTATATATTTGATAAAATATTTATTTAATTAGGTATTCATGATGTCGTTTACATGGCACTAAATAAAATAGATCCCAGTGAATCAAAATCATTACATGTTAGTTTTGATATTGATTCCTTAGACCCATTAGAAGCACCATGTACAGGAACTCCTGGTAAATTATTTGCTTCTGTTTAAATAATTTCCATTCTTAAAGTTTATCTTTTTTTAGTACGTGGTGGATTATCAATCAGAGAAGCTGTTCATTTAATGGAAATGTTATATAGAACTAAAAGACTAAATGCGGTAGATCTTGTAGAAGTAAATCCACACATTGGTAATCAACGTGACATTCAGTTAACTATTGAAGCTGCTATACACATTATTCAAGCTGGATTTGGTTATACGAGAAGAGGTCTTAAAGTTCCAGAAGGTGTTACAGATATGCCATTACAGACATTTAGATAAATTATAATCATCTTTATTGACAATATCATAATATTAAAGGTAATCAAGTTACCATGTCAACTCTCCTTTGAAGCTTATATAGTAACAAACTTTTATACATTTTTAAACAATACCACAAAAATATAAGAGAAAAACAAAACAAAATAATATATTTCATTATTATATCCACTAAATTTCATGAATCACAAATGTTTTATCAGAGGCATCATTAAATTTAATTTCTACCTTTTTTATCTCAGTTTGGTGATCAGGATGAACTTGATATTCCAAATGTAATTTTCCTTTAGTATTAGTGCCTTTTACATTGACATTAAATGTTTTAATATCATTGGTTTTATTCACAGGAAGTGTTATTTTTCCTTCTGTTATTGGTTTTCCTAAATATTTAATGGCATCCTCATGGTTATAAAATATATTCAATGCTTTTTTATAAGTGACTGTTTGCCGAATTCTCTGTTGCATATAATAATGCATACAAATTTCTGTAGTTGCAATTACACAACCAATAAAGGCAGATAATTTAGCCGTTGTTCCAATATAAGATATCTATATATCAAATAGAAAAAAAATTTCTTCATTAATGTTTAAGTATAGATATTGAAACTATTATAATAAATCTTACAGATTTACTCTATTATTGTGTACATATAAAAGCCACATTAAAATCAAATTTATTCTTGTTTATAATAAAGAATTCTAAGCAAAATTGAATAATAGTAAATTATTATTTATTTTCAATACAATAGTTATATATTATATTACGAATATAAAATAATATAGAAAGAAAAATAGGGCTTAATGAAAATTAGAAATGGTCTCACAGATATTCTATAGTACTTATGAATTAACTTCTTTTTTTAATTTTTGTTTTATATAAATTTTAGGTTAGATTATTTTAGGTTAAAAATAAATTCTTTAAATAATAATGTATATAAATAATTATAATTCTGATTTATTACATCTGTTGAATACATACCTTTTTAAATGTTATCATTATTAAATTAATATTTAAGAAAATATTTTCCTATGAACGCAGAGTAACTTTACTGAACTGTTTGATATTTAAGCATTGAACCATGTTTTTACATATATTATTATTATATTATTATCGTTAAAATAATTACTGTTAAAATAAAATGAAAAATAGGCACTACTGATGCTGAGCTACATGTTATTAATAAACTCTAAATATATTATATCACAATATACAACACTGTAGTAGAACATGCTTTCGTCACGTGATCAAATTATGGCCCGCATTTATTCAAATTTTAATAAAAAGATAGAAATTATAAAATATAAAAATATATAAAATATTAATATAAATATTACAAAATCTTGCATTCATATGAATAAAAATGACATCTTTTAATAGTAAGGTTGTTTAATTTATTTCTTTATCTCAACAAACATAATATTTTTAATATGTGCAAAACAACTGTGTTGCTGTACACGAAGTGTTTAATAGCATCTTTTGCATGTAATTACTAAACAGATTTTAAGTATACATTTGTAAAGTTGTTCTACAGCAACAAGATGTTTTTATTTTTGCGCGATACGTTACTAGATAATTCTAGGTACATGGGCATTACAACAATATACACTAAGTTCATAATTTCATATGTTGTAATCTAAGTTAATAGATATACTTTTCTACATAAATATAAATATTTTCGGTAATGTAGTAAAATTTGCTCACACATTTCAATAAGATCTTTATGTACAAAAAATTACAAAAAACTGAATTGTCACGAAATTTATGATGACATATACAAAAATGAAGATTTTATAAGTCGCACACGATTAAGAGGTATTTTATAGAGCGCATATATAGATTATTAAAAATGTATCTTATGTAAAATAATATACATGTGGTAATATATAAAGTAAGACTAGATGTGAGTGTCACGGACTCTATAAATCTACAATCGATACAGAGTATAGTTCGAGACACAATTTAGAAGCGAAATCACCTGCCTTAACGCAAGAATATGCGGCACAACAGCGGTTGAAAGCGTACTGGCAAGAAGAGAGTAAATTGTATTCTTTAATAATTAATATCTTTCTTTCCGATTTTTATCGATTACCATAAAGGAATTTATGGTATGCTCACTAAGTAGGACACAATACTGAAAACAAGAATAATTCTTTTAGTAATTAAAATTTACATGTTTATTTTATTCGAAAAAATTTTAAAATTCAACTCATCTACCTTTGAGTATATAATCTGTTAATAAAGTAGGTACAGTTGGACTGTCTTCGCTAATTGCTTTCAATACTGTAAAATAAAATACCAGAGTTTAATACATTCGCATAATTACTCCAACACTGCTCGCTCATTGAATCGGTGAATACTTACTTTTAATGAGAACTTGTAACGCTTGATTGTCCGGTGGGCCATTGTCCATATGATATGGAATTACGGTAGTTAAATACTGTAAGCGATATTGTTTAAATCAGATATTTCAAATTTACAGCTACGAACTTGTCGTTCCAAGACGAATTACCTTAGATTCTTGAAGCGATCTATGTTGTGGTAAAGGACTAGTACCATTTTGCATTTGATTTCTCTTTTTTGTGACATGATGCTGTCTTCGTCGATTTTGTACTGCTAATAACAATGAGATAAATTGATTCTTTAATTCTTTTTCATATTCCAGCTCGTCGCGCAATGCAAGTTCTGCGATGAGAGTTTCGCTCAGAGCTGCCACCAAGGATTCCATTTCCCCGAGTAGCTCAGTGAGTTGGCTGGAGGTAAGTTGTTTCAGCTCTAGAACAAACGATCGTGACTCAAGATTATGAAGCCCATTCTAATGTTGTTTATTATTTCATAGCTGCGTATGAAAATATACTTTTCTCGTGCAGCGGCGATCCTAAAACTTCTCTGCTCCTCTCCAACGCTTCGTCGCTGTCTAATAAAGACCCATCGGAATCCGGAGATCTTTCCATCGATGGACTTTCCTACGTAACACGAATATTTTATTCCTCCTCTTACGTAAAAAACATTCTTTGTCCGAGTAAATCCGATGTATATACATACCTGCATTATGTCATCTATTTCACGGAGCACTTCTTCCGCAGTCTTCAACGGTTCCTCTGGGCTGTGAGTATCGGTGCTGCTGGATAATATCAAAGCATGCATGTCCAAATCAGTTGCGACAGCCTCATCTTCGCTACTTAAATCCTCTAGTTCAGGTCTATAGCAAACAAAAGGAAAGCGTCTAATTTGCAAACGTAGAAATCGCGCCTTGTATATTTTGGAAAAATGATAAAAACATTTTCTTTTAATTATGTATTTTTGCAGAAAGGAAAGCAGCAAAATAAAAGGTCGAAGAAAATGCTTAAAACGCTGCAGGAAAATAAAATTTACCTTTCGTGTGGTACAGGTGCCTCGTTCAAATTAAGCGCGGGCATATGCATTTTTCTAGCATACGATTTACTCCAATCGATTGGTAATATGTTACCGAACGTACCGGTAATCGTCCACCACATTCTACGAGAAAAAAAAAAAGGAAGAAGTTGAGAATCTCTCGTTAGAAGATTGATAATGGGAAACATTCTTCTTCTTCGAGACACATCAAATTTCATTAGGTGTGATATTAATTTAAATTACGCAGACGCTGACTCATATCCTCCCGCTTGTCCTCTACCGTTTGAGAACTATGAATCGAGATGCTATTTTTACATACCGACTCTTAACGATTACACAGAATAAACAACGAAATCTAATCTTATATGATTCCAGAAAAGCATACAAAGTTGAAAGATAGCATACATTGAAATTCGGAGCGAGGATTTCTGAGAACATAGTACTATGTTTCTAACCACGTACTGTTCTATCTTTAAACTAACCAAGTAATAGCAACATATTGCGAATGAATTGTTCCGCCGATTTCTAAAGTATTGAAAGCAATCGTTTGATTGCCAAATTGTAATCAAAATTTTGTCGACGCTTGTACATCCTGTGCAAGGGAGTTCATCAGAAGAAACGTGTTATCGTGTTAAATGCCTGGTGTTGAAAGACACGATAAGATTTCAGAAGAGAGACAAACGTTTGAATGATGTCTGTTTTCTGGGATGTCATGTGAATCACCGGGTCCTCGTAGGCGTTCCCTAGATCGTGTACACATGCCACACCACGTACAGATAAGTCTCACACAGAGGCTAACTTATTTCGATAACAATGCATCCATTCTAAGGAAATGAATTTCCGCACAGAATCTATACCCTATAGTGAATGAGATTTTATCAACAAGCCTTTCTCACATTTCCGATTTGTAGGCAATTTCAATTAGATAATACGACCTACAACAATTCTGTTCGTGTTTTTTTGGTCCTTTCTTTTTATTTTTTACTCATTTAAGGTTGAATTAAAGTTTCCGCTACGGTTATTAGATGATCAAACCAATCAAACCCGAACGAATTGATTAGGTCCAATTAGTAATGCACAGCGACACAGCTTCATCATGGCTTGCTAGCAACTTTAAATTTTTTTTCTTGTAATTATTCTTATCGATTAAATTGACTTCATTTGTCTTAGTCTCGTTATTCTCTTCGTTTAGTCAGTTACCGTATGGTAACGCTTGAACGATTCTCAGAAATAAAAGGAGCATAGAGGCACATACGGCGGCCTGGTCGATGGTGTTGGATTAACAAATGGAGGTCAATTCGACCCACTCGAGTTTCTCATTAATGTTAAGTGCATTAAAGCAGTGACTTCATCCTGTCCGCATGCTAGTCGCATCATTCGGAACAAATGCCTAAACAATCCTGCTGGCGAAAAAAATCATCGGGACAAAAAAAAAAAAAAAAAAACAGTTTTAAATTTATCTTAATATTAAACCTGCGGAATAATTCGAAAGTAATTAAGTAATTAAGTGATAATGAGAATACAAGGGGAAGAAAAAAGATAAGATCCATGCCGTTTTTGAAACGGCTTGCACATCTTTCTCCGTTAATTGGAACGAGAAAAACGTATTGAAATTGAATTCCTGGAAAGACGAGTGTATCCCCTTGTGTTTATTAATTCTTCGGTTCAATGATCCGCGACGTGGCTTGTACAGTACTTGTACGTTATCTGTTGCGCAACGCAGACAAGTTACAAGCAAAAATATCAGGTCTGCGACGGATGCATCATCTTAATAAATCGTTGCAATTCAATTAATTTACAGTGAATTCGATGAAACTAGCCGATAAGATCTACGAAACATATTCTGCTCTGTTCCCATAATGATACAATACTTTTAGAAGAAAGAAAGGATATTACAACGTAAAAGAGCTGAGCCATTTTTTTGTCAGATCATTTTTGCGATAAAGACAAAGAAATAGATTTTTTTTTTTTTTTTACCGATATGTAGTACAAATAAATAAATCGAGGAGGAAAGAAATGGCACATGAAGGAAAACGGCGCTTAAGAAACATCGCATCATGGTTAGCTGGTACAGCGCGTGCGCTACTTTATTGACGTTTGTCCATCCAGGGGGTAGAG